AAAAAAAAAAAAAAAAATAATAATAACAATAATAATAATAATAATAAAAACAATAACAACATCTATTAATTCAACAATCTAATACTTACCCTTCAGCTTGTGGTGCCGCTCCAGCTTGTACCGCTTCTTCAATTTGTGTTCTACGGTCTTAGTATGGCTCTTGGACCTCTCACTCACATCACGCCACTTTCTCCTAATAGCCGCCACCTCCACGGTCTTGGTCTGCGTTAACAACACATCGGTAAAACAATTGCAAAGTACGTTTAAACAATTGCTGAATTAGACATGTATACATATCGATCAGTTACTCCACACATTAACCGAAAGGGATAAATTGTGTAAACATCATAATCTTCACCTTATTTTATTTTATAACTCCTTATTCCCTACTAAAATTTCAACATTCCACATAATAATAAAATGGTAATGAATAGAACAGTGTCGTAAAAACTGAAACTTGAGTTTCATATACAACTTTAAAAATATATCTAAATCTTGTGTAGTGGTTTCAAGTTTTAGATTGAAAGATCTCATCGTTAGAAGAGTTTCAAATAATGAAAGATGAAAAGAAAATCATGAGTGCACCAGGTCTTTATAAAGACTTTACAAAAAGATGTTTTTTTTGTAAATAATATAAAACATGAAATGTTTGTGAAATCAACAAAAAGATAAAACAAGAGAATAATAGGAGATGTCTTTTACAAGGAGAAACTGACAGTCATAGTGCGTTCTTAGCTCATTCGGAAATAACGTGAAGCACGCTTCTCAAGCTCTAATGTACTCAGAGGATGGTGGGATGGTGAAGCCTCTCCTGCTGTAACATTTGTGATCTTGAGATGAATAAGTAGAAGATCAACCCGACAGTAATGAATTTATTACTTTATTTCACGGAAAATAGCAGGTCTTTACAGGGACTTACAGTTGCAGTGGGTTCCTGGGGACACATTTCATATATAATCACTGCACGTGTGTAATCAAACAAATGCCCTCTCCTGCTTAGTTAAACAGAATTAGTCTTCCATGTTAAACAGTTTGATACTAAAACAACAACAAGGTGGATAGTATTTATGCCCAATGAAATCCAGCAGCGCCTTGTTTAGAATTATGAGTACAGTGTATAGTCCAGAACTCCTCCAGTTCATGTGCTTGGATTTCCTAGAACCTCTCCACGATGAACCCAGTGTCGGGAACTGCAGCG